ATCCGGACCTTTGTGGTGAGTGGGTACTCTCGGATCACTTCTCCATGCGGCATATAATAAACTTTTGACGAATCCAGGAATGGCCCGTCGACAACTTCTGCATGTCCCGCTCGTAGGTACTTCCGTATGGTTGTGTCATACGTCTCGAAGAGTCGTTGCTTATTCCACAGTCGAAAGAGAAGTTTCCAAAGTGTTGTCATAGCCACTTGCTTGTTGTCCGAGAGCTCCACGTCTTCCTTCCAGGGCAGCGTCACCTCGTATCTTCCGCTCCTAAGGCAGACGGTCTGTTCAAACTGCTGAAGTACAGGAGTGAGCTTGCTCTCACTGTCGATGGCGTCTGTCATTCCTACGCTCTCGAGTTCCCAAAACGAAGGAAGGAATTAGTCGCTCTCTTGTACACTGGTTTTCAATACGCAGACCATAATTCAGGAGTGTGTAACGTCCTATGCCATGCTGGTGTTTCCTTGAAACATCCACCCCAGCTTTGAGTTCATAGTAATCAACATGTCGTTGCTTGCGCATCGAGTGACCTCTCCTGTTATCACTGTCCACATTTGGTTGGAACCGATAAGAACACTGATGCCTTCTTCCCCGACAACGGATCCGTATAGTAGTTGATCAGCGATGTCTTTTGCAGCTCTCTGTATTTTCGTGACAAATGGTGAATTTGTTGTACTTGCTTCGATATCTTGGCATATATGCGGAATTTCTATTGCTTTCAAGGTAACTTCAGTGTGTGAAAACTGACTCTTCAATCGAAGCTGCACAACACGTCGCGTTTGCGCTGCTCGACTTGACTTGCTTGCGAAAGTGTTGAGCGCAATGATGGTGGATCCCACACATGGCAACTTCAGCTGCTTTGATAGCCTCTCTGTGACTAATCTGCGCTGACTTCCTCCGTCTATGACATCTCCGACATACCGACATGTAACATCTGTTACGGCCCAAGCCCGAAACGTCTGAAAAAGTACGCTCGTCGATAAACTCTCGAGGGTATGTCGATTCTTTCCTAGAGATGCACATACAGTCGTGTTGGTGCTTGGCTTACTTGCCGGTATTCTAGTATTTGTCCTGCCGGTTTTTCGTGTCTTCTGGCTTAATTTCTGTGGATCACACGCGCTTGTGGCATGACGCCCTTGACAGGTAGAGCACGTAATCTTGCGCCTGCAATCACACGCCTTGTGACCTTTCGTCGTGCATCGAAAACACCTTGTCTCCTGATAAAATACGCTTCTTTTCTGGTAGCGAGTGATCCAACGAGCACTCTTCCGGGGAATGTTGGTTTGATTTGCAAAACACACAGTTCTCAAGTACCTTCTTTGTGTTGTTATGGAGAACTGAGGACGTGCGTTTTGAGCTACGAGACTGCCGTGATTTGTTCTGCGCATTCTTATTACAACTGTCTTTTCCACGATGGTTAGCGAACTCGCTCTTCTCTTAGCTCTCCACTTCGATAGACAAGAAACTTAATAGGCGTTCCAGCTCCGTGTTAGAGGCTTCATTACTGCTGTAGCTCGCCGCCCGATTGGCGCATGACCGATGGTACAGTACGAGATCGTGTAGTAAAGCCCGCAGCAATATGTCGCACGGCAGTGCTGAAAAGAACATCTTGCTCACCCCAAGGGTTTCCAGTCCTCTGGTGTTGATGATGACCTGATCGTACAGCTTGCGAAGAGCCGTCGGGTCACTTGAACGGACTGAAGGCAACGTACGAAGCCTGGAGAAGTACTCCTGCTCGAGTCTCGTTCTGTCACCGAAGCGTTTCTTGGGTATGTCGATGGCGTCCTTGTAGCAAGCTTCTGTCATTGGCAGGCCCACAATAGCTGAAGCTGCGTTGCCCCTTAGGAAGAGCCTCGGGTAGTTGAACTTGTTCGTTGCCATGAGGTTTTCGTTTCGATGAATCATCTGGTCAAATTGCTCCCAAAATTCGTTCCACTGGCACAGGTCACCAGCAAATGGGGCGATGGTAAGCTTGGGAAGCTTGGCACCAGAGGCTTCAGCGGTACTCGCTACGGACGAAGTCTGAAGCTACAATACGGTCGCGCTTGCTAGGAAGCTCACTCATGGCGCTGTTAGCGTTGTCTTCGTATTCAAGGATAGTGTTGTACTCTTCCTCAAACTTTTCATCTGGTATGTGGCTTTCTAACTCCCTGTTGATTTGGTTCAGCTCATCGTTGTTCCCCTTCAAACGTCTGTACATGGTGTTAAGCTGATCGATGGTGGCTGTCGCATCGCCGAGAAGAGCTCTTGCCTCGTTGATAATCCTGGTGTTGAGAGATCGTCTCGACGTCCGCTTCGGTTGAAGTCTCTCCATAGCGTTCAGTTCACTCGTAGCCTTCCGTAGTCTTCCATGGTCCCGTCGTAGCAGTTCCCAGATCTTCGGCACTAAAAACTGTTTAAAATGGCATACGGTTCACTGGCAAAAAGTTAGGCTTAAGCATTACAAACAACATTTATTTTCAGCTGTTTTGATCGATTCCTGGCTGCAAGCGCCCGTGAGCACGGACTTGCTCGTGGCAGGAGGCGCTTCTTCTTCCTCGGTTTGACCTGGCGCTGCGCTTGATTAAACAAGTGTGTTTTGCTGGTTAGTGGGTGACCTAGCCACATTCATAGCAGTCTCATTTTTCCCTTCTATTTGAATGTGATGCACAACCGTTTATATGAACTGGGTGAAGTGGCTTAGTCCGCCCTCACCTGCATATAATTATGCTATGTGCCACTGTTGCATAAACATAAATGCAGCTACTCCTCACCAGGCATATATTAATGCTATACAGTTGAGCCCGCTTATAACGAACCTGAGCGTGACGCGGCATCCGTTTGCTGTATCCCGAAGTTCGTAGTGAATGAAACACAGCTTTTAAAAAAAGTTGCGAGTGAAAACACAAACTTTTTTTGCCCCGAAAAGTCCGTGATGCATGTGTTTCGAAGAGCAGAAGCAATAAGGGTGGTCTCAAGTTCATTTAAAACGGCAGGGTGCTCGTTCGCCGAGGCCCGTGGCATAAGCTGCATAAGGCACTGATTTCGAAGTTTCATCGTTCTCGCAATCCCATTCCTTCAAATTGCTCTTGCCACGTACTTCATTCACAATGCACCAATCCGTGCACGGTCCATGGTGTCGACATCATCATCGGCCGTAATTAAACCATTGCAACAGATGTCCCACCGGCTGTCCCAGGTCGGAGTTGACGACGCGCTGCCACAAATCGCCGCTGCAGTTCGGAAGCTTCAGGCTCAGCATCGGGCCCGACGTCGACGAAGTCAGCCTCGCGAAAACATTTTTGCACGCATGTAGCCATCACCGCCGCCCACGAAATATTCGCCATCTCCACAGGTGAATACCTGGACGCCCGAAGCGGCATGTTGGCTGCTAGGTGGTCGACAGCTATGAGCAAGCGCTCTACAACGCGGCACCTAACGCACGGATTACACTCAAGCCAAGTGGTCACACTTTTGACGTTTTGTTGAGCGGCAGGAAAAAGCGTGCTAGTCCTCCCGTCGGCCATCATGACCGCACAAACACACCAAGAGCGAGCAAGACGCGCACACGCGACACACATGCCAGAACGCAAGGAACAGCTCTGGGCCCGTTTCCAATCAGAAAACAAAACTAATTCGAGCCAGCTTGGCGGGCGTCACGAAGCGGTGGAGACGGGCGAAGGCATTTCCTTCCTCCGTGGGCGAAGGGGTTGTGATCAAGAGAGGAGAGATGATTTGCGAGAGAAGGGCAAGGAGTTGCGGTAAAGAGAGAAGAGGATGCCGCGGGAGGGCGACCTTGAAAACCAAAGCACACGGGAAGGAGGCAGGTTGAGTAGCTTGCTTGAAAGATCCGCGAAACTCTCCCGTAAAAATACTTGGAAAGAGTGCCTATGCGCACAGAAGTCAAAGCACGGCTGTCTAGATCGGTGCGCGCGGCGGTGTTCGAAGAATTGGCAGCCGTGGTCAAAAAATTGTTTTGTTGCGCCGGTGGGTTTGCGTGGCCTCACGAACTTCGATAGTTTGCTATTCATTCTGCACAAATTAAAAGCCGCTTTCACGCTTCCGCACTCGCGTGGAAGGCTGCTGAGCCGAGTGCAAAGTGAGCGAGAACAAGTCCTAAACACGAAACGAATTGCGAATTATCAGAGTCAGTGGGGTAGCGTACGCGCGTGCACTAGACGCAGACTATCGGATACAGTCGGTGGCTGAGGATGTTGGAAAATGATCTGATCACTCCAGGGCGGCGACGCCAACGACCATATTAGCGATCAAAAACCGGGTAGATGGTCGACCCGTCTTCGAAAGATCGGTGGCAGTGTGAAAACAAGGGCCTCGTCTGGCGATGCAGGGTGCTCAGAGTAGCGGGGGGGACAAAGGACGGAGGGTTGCGTAACAAAAATCAGTTGGGGCATGGAGGAAGGAAACAGCTTTCCTTCCTCCATGGGTCGGGGAGAGCGGCAACTAGAGGGTCGCGGAGGCAGGGTCGGCGTTTAACAATAAGAATGTATGGGCACTTCGCCGATGCCTGATCGGTGGTTGAAATTAGTTTCCCGGGAAGTCGGCAGACCGCTGACTCCGTTCGCTGTAACCGATCAGCAGCGCTCGGAGACGTTCGTGTTAAGTGCGATTTTGTGTCATTGAACCAATGTATATTTTCACGGTCACGCAGATATTCGTTTTAAGCGAAAGTTCGTTTTAGGTGTGGTCGTTATATGGGGGCTCGACTGTATGCCACTGTTGCATAAACATAAATGCAGCTACTCATTCCAGATCAGTTAGGAGTTTTTACTGCACTGACGAGTTTAATGTGCTAATTCTACAAAAGATATTTTCAAAGTAACATTATGAAGTCTCTTAGCAGCGCGCGCGTGTGTGTGTGTGTGTGTGTGTGTGTGTGTGTGTGTGTGTGTGTGTGTGCGTGCGTGCGTGTACGTGCGTGCGTGCATGCATGCATGCATGCACACACATTCGACATTGCTGGTATGTCCTTTACTTATGTGTTTTTCCTTGACTTGTTGCAGAGTAATTGAGTGCAAAGGACCGACCAATACCAGAGTCTACACAGTGGCAGTCTACTTTAGGAGAAAAAGGCTTGCCACAGCATCTGGCCACAGGTAAATTTTGATCTCCTTGTATGTATCCTTTTTTCTTCTCTGTAGGTCTCATTTCATGGCATCTAACTCATTTAAATGATTTCTGTTTTAATGGCTTATTTTTCATTTTTACTTCTGATTAGTAAGTATTCGCACTTGACAGTGGCATGATTACCATTGTTTGTTTTCTTTTTATGGATGATACAGCAGTTTTTTTCTTGTAGATTATGCTTGAAGGAATGTTGGAACTGCTAGCAGCGCACAGTACGAGGACATGTGTGCTTTTTTGCACATTTTCTGCATCCTTGTAGCTAAAGTTGTCACTTTGTTATAATCCTGAAAATCTTTTGAACTTTCTTGTCAATATAGGGACTTGAGCAAAGGTTCCCTTTCTGTTATCAGATAATTCATTATATACTAGGTTGAAGAAACCTTGCAGTTTTAATAATCTAGCGATATTCTAGCTGGCTTAATAAACTGAGAGTATGTGAACTTTCTTTCAGCATCCAGCAAGCAGAGATGGCTGCTGCCTCAAAAGCCCTAGAAGCATCCAAAGGTATCAATTCTTTGTTGTGTGTTTCTGATAGTTTTCTGTAATATTCTCTTGTAAGTCTCACACCTTACAATTCTATTGTAGCATTTCTTTTCTTAATTTTTTTTCTCATCACATTTACACTATATTTGCTTTTCTGGCTGGAACAAATCTTTTTCTCTAAAATGCCATTTGTATCAATAGGGACAAAACTATCCGGGGTATTAATCAAGATAGTCATGCTGATCACAAAGTCATGTCTTGAAGTTGCTGAAAAGAGCGCTGTTTTTCTCAATAAACAAGTAAAGGTGCAACAGCTGTACTAGTTGCACCAAGTTGATACAATTCCCAATCGTTGCACTAAAACTGTGAAATTTGCTGAAATTGCACCACACTGTGCCAAAATGCCCAGCCAGCCTCAAGGTTTTCTCAGGTGCTCTAATTTCGGCATGAAATGCAGGCCACATCAGCCATCTGCAGTGTGCACCATCAGTCGAAGCGCGTACACCCTCACTATAGTGGCTAGAATATACCTAAAATATTCTAGGCACCCGCCCTACGCTCGCGAGACGCGATCGACCAGATAAGGTAACAACACTGTGTGCCCATTGGTCCGCTGTCCGCAGCGGATACCTATCGGCGGGATGGCGGAACTTCAAGACAGAAATGCATTGCTGTAGCCACTAATGCATGCTTCGCGGTAGAGACAGGCAGACAGACAGACAAGGACCTTTGTTCAAGTCCTGAGGAACTAGCCAATGCAGTCCTACAGAGAACCTCTGGCTTGTTATCGCCTGGAAATGTAAATTTCCTAGCCTGAAAATGCGGCTCTATGGCTTGTTAGGAACTAAAGCGTATGCTGTATTTTCATTGTGCAAACAAGGTTGACGTGCTGTGAACGCCGGCATTGCCAGCGGCCATGTTGATTGCCTTAGCAGTGGCGCATAAAACTTTTTTTAGTCTTGAAGTTGCGTCGTCCCAGCCACGCTCCTGGCGATATATATCTGGTACTGTTGCCGGGCAACCGGCACGCGCTGTTGCTACATCACCTGGTCGAACGCACCTTGCAAGCAAGTTGAAGCTGCACCTAACCTGAAGTGAACGAAACAGAAGGGTGGGAAGTGTCGGGGAAAAGTGTACCGGTTAGAAAATTTCTTGGCTATGGGTCTAACCCATGCAGAGAATGCTGCTTAAGCCACCTTCGCCGTAGTACATTGGTGTCCTGCGATAAAGTAATTCAGATTGGGAAAAGGCTTTAAGTGCTACCATGGTCCTTTAATACTTTTTTTTCTGGTCATGAAACTCCCGCGAAAGTTTCATATGGGGACAAAAGTGGCCACCAAAGGTGCCACCGTTAGCAGGAGAACATCGATCGGCCGTGCTTGGCAGGGCTGTAGCGCGTTCGCGGAAGCGTTTCCCATCTAATACACTTCTTCAGATAATTTCGTTTTCTGTGTTCTCGCTAACAAATCATAGCAGCTATTAGTATTGTCAAAGTTGCCGATGCGCGTTGTCAAATTGCCCAAGTCCTTGATCGCTGGCAATGTTTTAACTGAGTCCGTCTGTCAAGTGACGTGCAATCGTAGCGTTCCTAAATTTCTCAATTCCTGTATAGTCGCTTTCGGGCTAAACCGAATTCTGTTACTAGTTCTAGATGACTGAAAGGTTAGCATAGTTTGCGCTAGAGATTGCGGAGCAGCCGTGCTCTGGCTGCACGTAACGTCCATTTTCGGAATAAATGTCACTTTATTCTATAGGGCATCACAAAGCAGCCAATAAAAGTTCGCGTGCCAATAAACAAATCTATATATCAGGTTCACTTGGCATTAATAATAGCCTCAAGTACCTCTTGAGGGATATCGTTAAGGATAAAGCTGAAAAATAAAAACTCAGACAGAGACACCACAAGACGGAGAGGGATGCTCAAGTTGTGTTCTTTTTTTTTTTTATTTGGTGTCGTAATTTGCGCCCATGATTTTAAAGATTGAAAAATGAGATGAAACTTTTGTGAGCTGCTATATATAGGCACTATGTACTATTTCAAAATGAAAGCTTTTGATTTTAAGCATGCATATTTGATAACGCAGCCATGTTTTGATATACGCTGTTTTTTTTTTATTCATTCTCATGTACTCTACCAATGATCACAACTTCTAAGTCCACATTCTAATTAGCGACCCTGTTCTTCCTATGCGCACGTAGAAATCAACCAGGATCTACACTCTCTATCTACGCCAGCGCCGCGGCGCAGAAAGTGCGGGCGGTGTATGAAGCTCTCCCATTCAGTGACGCGGGAGTTTCATGACCAGAAAAAAGTATTGAAGGATCATGGCGCTACTTACGGGGCACTGCACATTTTGTTGAGTTACTTATCTGTTTGAATGCCGTGTAATTCTGAGTACGAGTATAATTACTGACTTCTAAATAAGATACTGGCAATAATTTGGAGCAGTGTAGGACATTTCTTCTTCCCCCCCAAAAAAAACTAAATTGTGTGCCAAGTTTTTTTTTTTTTCACTATTTCTACTTCTTGGTTCTACGAATCTCCCGTATTTCAAGGTCGTGAGCTTGGCAAATTTATATTTAAATTCGTAGAGTCTGTCAAATTATGTGAGGCACAGCAAATGCTAATATGGACTTAATCATTGTTTGCTCAATGACATGGTTCAAAATACTACTTTCATTGAAATAGCAGTGCTCGTGTTCACACTGCGCGATGTAGGTGATGTTGAATGGCTTATACATATATTTCTTGTTATAAATGTAACCCTTCTTTTTTTTATTAAGTACTCCAAGTTTGGCGTTTCATGATGAAAAATGCATGTTATTTCCCCATAACCTGCTCCAAATTTGGATTTTAGTGCTCCGAAAGTAACATTTTGCTGCTCCAAAACTTGCTCCAAATTGTATTTCGGCTGTTGCACCCCTGAACAAGTGCTTATATTTAAAAGTTCTCACAACAAGCAGCAAAGAACTTCATTTGGCAACTCCCAAAAACAGCACATGCCAAGTTCGATACCCGATGATGTCATCATCATCATCAGCAGCAGCCTGACTATGCCCACTGCAGGGCAAAGGCCTCTCAGACCATGGTCCACCAATCAACCTGGTCTTGCGCTTTCTGCTGCCATGTTGTACCTGCAACCTTTTTATTCCATGATCCACCAATCAACCTGGTCTTGCGCTTTCTGCTGCTATGTTATACCTGCAACCTTTTTATTCTCATCAGCCCACCTAACTTTCTGTTTCCCGCTTGTGCATTTGCCTTCTCTGGGCATCCAATCAGTTACCCATAATAGCCAGCAGTTATCCTGCCTACGTGCTACATGCTTGGCCCACATTCATTTCTTTTTGATTGCCCCGCCGTGGTGGTCCAGTGGCTGAGGTACTCTGCTGCTGACCCGCAGGTCGCGGCATCGAATCCCGTCTGCGGCGGCTGCATTTGCGATGGAGGCGGAAATGTTGTAGGCCCGTGTGCTCATATTCGGGTGCACGTTAAAGAACAGGTGGTCAAAATTTCTGGAGCCCTCCACTACGGCGTCTCTCATAATCATATGGTTGTTTTGGGATGATAAACCCCACATATCTATCAATTTTCAGCGTTTCTCCACCTATCTCAAAGCGCTGTTTTTGGCCGAGACTGTTGCACATTACTTTAGCTTTATGCATACTAATTTTCAGACCAACTAGTACTTCTGCTTTCCGTGTCCAGTTCAGTAATCATGAGCTGTAATTCATCCCCTGAGTTACTCATCAAGGCAATGTCATCAGTGAGTGGCAGGCTACTAAAATATTCTCCATTAACTCTTATCTCTTACTCTTCCCAATCTAAGGCATTGAAAACCTTCTGTAAATATGCAGCGAATAGCGTTGGAGAGATTGTGTGTCCCTGCCTTACACCCTTCTTTATTGGAATTCTTTCGCTTGCTTTGTGGAGAACTATGGTGGCTGTGTATCCGCTGTAGATTTCTTCTAGTATGTTTATGTAGAGCTTGTTGATGCCCTGATTCGCTAGTGCCTGCATCATTGCTGATGTCTCGAATGAGTCAAACGCTTTCTCATAATCTATGAAGGCTATTTAGTAATCGGTTGTATTCTGCGCATTTCTCCATCACCTGATTCATAATGTGAATACGATGAGGTGTATTTTCATGTATCTGTGGAGCTTCTAAACTTTATTTATTATTGTGATGCAATAAGTTTTCTTCTGTTGCACAACTTTTTGTGTAACTTACAACATGAAGCTAAATCTTCATTTGTATGAAGCTGAAAAGTCATGTGGCCTTCGTATGATGTAGTGAAAGAACTTCCATGTCCAGTCTTCGTTGCAATGACATGTTTCATTGACGCTTGCAGATGTGCAATTTCGTCTCTGATGAGTCGGCCAGGATTTTGTTGGCAGTGTAAAGACAGCGGGGGCAAGCCATTGATGTAGACCTATGCTGATGTCATTGCTAACTGGCTTGTGTCCACACCCGACCACGTATGGCTCACACCTGAGCAATGCATAGCTAACAGGGGCAGCTCTCGGACTCTGTGCTTCTTTTTACCGTATTTGTCGGAAGCAATTCAAAGTCAGAAACACACCATAGACACCATGTTTTGAACATCACAATTTAGAAAAGCAAAGTGATAGAAATTTGAGAAAGCTTTCATAAGAAGGAGGAGAGGGGCTCTGGTTTTAACTGTAGTTCCGTACAGATTCTGATACGATTGTGTCACTACATATGCTTTGCACTGAGTCAAAACCATCTAGACATTATTAAAAGCGAAGGGCATGCAGAGGGTGTCTTTCTTTTCTATAAAAATTATATTTTAGACTCCCAATAAATGGAACTTGATTCCCTGATGGGACAGTGAAAATATGTTCCATTTAACAGGAGTTATGGTTACTGAGAGATAAATGGGTGCAGATTACAGATATGAAGCCAATTATATCAGAGGCAGTTGTTATATTTAGGCAGCAGTTTTACTTAACAGATTTCTGTTAATGAGAGTCTATAGTAGTTGTCTATTTTGGGTGCCTTTTTTTGCATTGTTGCCATGTGCCCAGTACTTCAATGTCAAAAACAGTGTGTGGGCTATCAGCGTTACATAGCATTCTTGATAGAAAATGAGTATGTGCCGAGTTTCTAAGAAAGGAAATGCAAGAGCAAGCGAGCCAGATGATAATTATTGTTATTAGTCTAAAAGGCACCATTAATACGCCTTCTGTTTTTAAGCTGTGTGCTACTCACTGTAACCATTGTGTAAAACTGTGTGTTTACCATCGACATAATACTCTATGAAGATCATGCATTTGTGAATGCACAATGCCAATTAGTTCTGAAGCAGAACTAAAGTATTGTGTGCCACAACCACTGTGGATGAAACTTCAGTTGTTTTCGACGAGATTCAATATGGTGATTACTTAGTTCAATTCTGAAGGCACATTGTTAAGGTGGTGTCATGCAGGGAATTAAACACAAATAATGAAAGCTAAAGAAGCAATAATACTGAAAGGGAGGACAAGGAAGACAGTTGACCGGGTTGGCAGTATCCCGGCCCACTTGTATTACTTTTGTTCCCTCTCAGTTCTCTGGGTTTTCGCATTTTATTGAGTGAATTAGCCAACATGTTATTTCATGGGTGGTGGAAAAGAACAATATTTACTATATACCACCCTCATCATTATGCCCCTTATCACTTTTGCTTTCTGATTATTTGTCCAATGTGAGCACTCCACTTCCAGCTTACATTATTTAATAGTTTTGCAATTGCTCCTATAAACTACTGCTACCAGACCTTGTTCTTACTTCTTAAAAAAAGAAAGAAAAGAAAAGAAAATCCTGATCTGAAAAGGCCTGGGCCAGTAGTACCATTGCATTGCAGTCTCTTACTTCAGGACTTCTCCTTGTAATTGATTTTGCCGTGAAAAAAATTCTGATTACGGTAACACATTTCTAATGTCAAAGGTATGTCTTTGTGCAGAACTTTTCCCTCAGCTGAGCCATCAGCGAAGAGTCCTTGAAAGAATCCTTAAGCAACGAGCTCCAGGCAAAGAGGATGAACCACCTACAAAGAAATCGCGTGACGACTCTTCTACGGATTCACGAAGCAGGCACAATTCGTCGTCGCGATCACATGGAAGTCTCGACAGGAGGAGAACAAGTGGGGAAACAAAGAGGCGGTCAAGATCCAGGAGTAGGGACACCTCAAAGCCAGAGGCCAGAAAGTCAAAGCAAGTGCTATAATTCATATTTCACTATGAAAACAGTGTAATGGGTTTGAAAGAATGTTATGTTTTGTAGTATGAGGCGAAATACGGCAGCAGGGTAGAATAGATGGAGAGGATAGACTCTGCCTATTCCTTCATGTTTGCGTATTTCGCCTTGTGCTACAAAACATTCATTCAAATGCATCACCAACAACCCCACATTGCAACTCTTGTCGAGTGTAATGGGGCTTCTTTGAAAGGGTCCTGAAACGTTCTCCAAAAATTTAAACCACTTGTGTCTTCATAATCTTGGCAGTTCATTCAATACTATACCTTGGCTCGTTTCATCGACTGTGCTCACTGAATACCTAAAAAAGTGCTGTTTCAGTTTCCCAGCTCACAATCCTGTCAACTGTGCTGCTCACGTCACTTCAAGACAGCCAATGAAATCTTTGTCGTTGACAAAACATGGCAACGCGGTGATGTTTTTGAGCCTTCATTCACTGTGCTTCGTAGCATCATACTGCTTGGCACCATCACCACTATCTGACCTTTCCGAACTACGGCGTCATCTGCTTGAGCGGAGTCGGTTTTTGGGCTTTGAGCCGTATGCTGACACACCCATGCGAGTTCATGATCGGCCATCGTCAGAGCAAAGCAGCAGTGACGGCGGCGATGACGGCGAAGAAGCCTGCGCCCTCGAAGCACTCGTATCAAGACTGCCTGGTAGAACCTTCCCTTGCAGAAGTCCTGACCATGAACCTCCGCTTTGTATGCCCATACCATCCGGGACCATCGCGGTTGATAGCTCGAAGCACTGCTCTGCACTGTGGCTTGCTGGACAGCTTGTGAGAGCGAACGCTGTTTCCACTTTGATAACTTGTGCGTGTGGCACTGTCTAATGACATGCACGGTTGGCATAGCAAGGATTAAGCGCTGGACACGGTGCAATTCAGCATCCGATTTGGCGTGTGACGTCCACACGGCGTACAACGATTCGCGACACATGAGGTGAACGAGACATCAGGGCTCGGGCGCCGCCCACGTTCGGCACCTCAGCTTTCACACTCAGAAGACATCGTATCCTCTTTAATCAAGCACAAAATAAACAACCTCACACAGTCGTGCTTCATTTTCTAATAACACTGCCAACAAAGCTACCCCTTCGCGAGCAACAAACATCGCCACAGCCCACATTCAATCTCGACTTCGAGCGTAGGCCTTGCAAGGTCGGCATTCTCGGTAGTGCCGCTTACTTTCCAATATGAGCTCATTCTCCAGCGTTCTTTTTTTCCTACATCATAAAAACTTGTGCACTTATATGATCTTTTATCAGTGCAACTTGTTTACTTGGCAGCCTCGATGTATAGAGCAGAGGTGAGAACGAAGCTGGCTGGTTCCCCGAGACGGCCGGTGCCACTGTTTGTTTACCTGCGAAATGGCCTTCCATCACGGCTCAATACCTCATTGGTGGTTCGGAAAAGAATGTTGCCTTGCAAAAATAGTGCACTTCAAGCATCACTTTAATAAATCATGAGTTATTTCACGTCAGGAATAGTTTATCGAATGTTTTCTATATCACCGGCAACGACGATATCCACAAATACCAGCAGGATCGGGGCTATCGGAGTGGTGAGCATGGCCTCCGAGATAGAGGATGCACAGGGGTTTCTCTCCAGCCAATCCCAATCGCATAGAAAGAGCGTGTTTCAAGAAGTGGGCTTGGTCCGCTCTTTTCTTTGTACCGCAGCGCTCCTTCGCATGGTCGAAAAGGCTGCCATGCTGTTGGTGAAGCTTGCATGTGCCGCAAAAAAAAAAAAAAAAAACAGTTTTGCGCTTTTATATAACTTTCGCGCTCATTTGGGAATGTCAGGCTCAGGTGTACGAAACGCAAAATCAGTGCTCGGCCTATATATTCTCAAATGGGCTTTTTTCTGTATATTTGCGCTGCCCATATTATAGCACTTATAATTGCGATGCGTCTGCAAGAGATCTGCATGTACTAGAAACTTACTGTACTTCGAAGTTTGTAGGCTGTATAGTATGGAGGGCACTGGCGTAAGAAAAAAAAAATGACAGCCTGAGCGAAGTCACAAGAGTGCCGCGTTGTACGCTCATGGGTTACATTTGATTAAAAGGGTGGCTTTTCTTTCCTTTCAGGGAACTAGCGCTGCTTTTCATTGTGATGCGCTTTCAAGAATCTTTCCGTCGAGCTGCAGAAGCAGGATTCAGGAAGGAGGGTGCAGGAGGTCACCATGTGTCTAGACTATATTTACACTGAATGTCGTCAGTTCTGCGATGCCCACGGGCTGTTTACAGGCACATTTTCGACACTTATAGTCGCCCATTCCCATTGTGAGTTTTACGGTGTTCAGTGGATATGTTGGGCACTGAATGGACACTGAAATGTTTTGCTTGTTTAAGAACTAAGCAACACGCGTTCAGAGATTGACGTATTTGATATGAAACATTGGGGTGTTACATAGCAGTGACGATTTGCACTTTTTCTTTAGTAGTCTACCTCGGCGAATACTTAGTTTTCATTAGAAAGATGCTGTTATCTTATATGTGAGACCCTTTAATTTGGGTGCCGTCAGGAGTACAGTAAATGAAGATGACACCGATATTGTCATTGTGCTACCAAAACGTAATCATAATTCAGATGATGAAAAAGGAGACGATGACAACTCAGGCAATTTCACTGTAAAAGATGTGAGGAGTGAATGTAGGTCGGCTAATCAAAACATTTATGCCGGCAAAGTTACTTCTCACGTACCTTATTTCAATTACATGACCAGGGTACTCAGTTATCTAGAGTGAAACTGCACTTTGGTTTACCACCACATAAATATCCGTACATGATATAATACCGTATTTACTGGCGTAATCAGCGCATATCACATAATAAACGCATCCCCAAATTCAGTTGTCAAAGTTTGGATTTTTTTCCCCGCATAATAAACGCACTCCCTACATTCATCCATTGCAGTCCCCCTATCCGACACCTGGTGCCTCCTTACCCGTTGGATCTCTTCCGTTTTTTATACTTATGCTGACCTCCCTTAGCCACCTTGGCTGGCTCCCTCTCCTCCCTTCGCCCGTTGCCTCGTGTAGTATTGCTTTTCTTTCTATCTGTGCGCCGCACGTTGTCCCCCATCTTTTTTATCTGTGCGCCATAGCAGGGTTCCGAACGATGCGAGTGTAGAGACGCAGCTGATAAGCACACAGCAAGCGAAGGTCACGAAACTGCCCATGCCAATCGACAGTCACTTCCTGCAAATACGAAACTTTAAACACTTAATGACATGCACCCGATTTTCGAACGACGACGACAGGATTTGCTGTCGCAAAGGGTCATTCATTGCTATCGCGTCGCAGGTGTCTGGAAAACCAAAAAAAAAAATCTCTTCTCGCTCAGAAAAGATAGTGATGATTTCCACAATGTGGTAGCACTCCCAATTCTCACTTCTCTTTCCACGCGTACAGGAACTTTTCATATGGAAGCGAGGTGGTGACCATATTTTGCTGTTACATCTTGGTATTGATAATTTGTTTTGATGCTTCGAGAGTAGCTTGCTACAATGTCAACGGTGGCGCCGTAGTACAATGTCAACAGCGGCGCCGTGGTTGTGGTGCGAGGTTGCGGCGAAGTTGGCAAAGTGTGTCGTAGCTCACACTTCTGGGCGCCCCTCGAGATCACAGCAGATACCACTATTGCAGTTGAATGATTCCGAGAAAAGATAGCCGCAAAACGCTTTTATAGTGTGCGCGGGCGATGAGGGGACAGCTTGCGATAGATAGCGCCATCAACCACCGAAGTTAAGTGCAACAAAGAAGCTGCTTCCAAACAGTGTACACGTATATCTATTCCAAAAAGCTAAACAACCTATACTTTTTTTTGCATTACCGCATTTTTTGCTGATCACGGCAAAGTTTTCATATAATATGCCCCGCATGATAAATGCACCCCCAGCTTTGCTGTGATTTTTCGAGAAAAATGTGTGTTCTTTATGCGAGTAAATAGAATAGTAAAGTGGACCATAATTAAAACAGTTTTCCCCCATACAAGCAAGTCTCGAGAAAGGAGAAATTCTAGAATGCCTCTATATTTCTCAAATCGAACTATTTAGCACCGAGACAAAACAGATTGTAATGAAAAAACAAACCAAGTGATACTACCACAGACAAATTGATACCTCCTTACAATGACTTATCAGGAAAATTCAGTAGTTACCATGCTTTTCTTCGTAAATTAAACCAAATAAATGCAATTACAGAAAAAATATTACCTTTCTTTAGTTCAGCCAGAAGAATCTGGCGGTGATTCTTGCTCGTATGGGAAAAAGAAATAATATATTTGCACTCTGGAATATTGTGCGCTCTTCTGTCTGCCGTAGTCTCCGACGTCGGCGGAATCCGCGCCCTCTCGCGGTAGTCGGGCGCGCGATGCCATCGTCTCTGTTTTCGTCATCTGATTTTTGATCATGTTTTGGTAGCACAATGGCAATATCAGTGTCGTGTTCATCTACTGTACTCCTGACTGCATCCAAATCAAAGGGTCGCAGATGTAGGATAATGGCGTCTTTCTAACGAAAAATAAATATTGACAGAGGTAGGATACTAAAAAAAGAAAAAGTGCAAATTGTTGCTGCTATGTAACACCTCAGTATTTCATACCAGGTACATCAAACTCTGAATGCGTGTTGCTTACTTCTTGAACTTGCAAAACATTTGTTCGTACTTATATTGCCCGACATATCCACTGAGCACAAATCTACAGCAAACAAAAAGCCCATTTGAGAATATATGTGCCCAAGCATTGACTTAGCCTCTCATACATCTTGGCCCGACATTCCCAAATGAGCAGGAAGTTACATAATGAAAGCACAAAAATATTTTTTTTTTCTCGCCACATGCAAGCTTTCAACAGCACGGCAGCCTTTTCGACCATGCGAAGGAGCATCACGGTGAAGAGAAAAGAGCAGATCACGCTCTCTCCGTGCGATTGAGACAGCCGGAGAGAAACCTGCCGCGCTCCCGCCATCTTAGAGGCCATGCGGTAAGAAACAAATTTGCGACGGGCGCCCACCAATGGTGCATCTTGTCACGCTTCCGCGCTGCCATTGGCTGCAGTGGCCAGACCAGTGCAGCTGCCGCACGGCTTCATTCAGCAAGTTGGGTGCTCGCTCGGCAGTCTCTCATTGTAATTGCACAGCATACAACTCAAAGTGCAAAAACTGCTCTGTTATTTTTTTTAGGAGCGAAGGTCCTCTTAGTTTAACCTTGTCTTGCGTAAGGCGTAACCGAGAGAAGAAGAGACTAGGAAAAAAAAGGAAGGCAGTATCTCCTAAGCAGTATAATAGACGGCACTGTCTCATAGAAGTACATACGAACTGCAGTTGAGTGAGAATATTCTAGATGGCGCTGTACCGCTACTCTCCGATTGGCTGCTGCATGGGTTGTGCCTGGGTGCGCGAGGAAGAAGTGCCTTTCTCAGTCTCCTGGATCGTCGCCGTACATGGTGGTGGGCATGAACGAAGCAGAGTGTAGGGCCTCGGCGGCTCGTGCTCGTCGCCAGACAGACACACTGACAGAGAGACGGACACACAGACACACGGAGAGACCATATGGACAGACAGACAGACGAACACTTTGCCCCACTCATCATGATTTACTCCGTCAATATACAATGATTTTTATTTTCTAGGCTTTTATAAATGATTACTTTAGAACAAAATAAAGCTAACTCTGTGTTTGTAACTTCTCTTACTCTGACGTTCCACTAACATCACAAATTAGTGCCTTTAGCGGCCAATGATCGTGCATGTCCCAAAAAACTGCCATTTCAAAAAGGCGTCTTTAATTACAGAATGGATATTGGGCCGAAATATTTCAGAATTGATATAAGGCCTGATTAAATCAGGGAAAATTGCAACCCAGAAGTTTCATTTTCGTTTCACGACCCCTTTAAGCATTTCACTGCAGCTGTTTATTAGAACATAAGTGTGCTATGTAGCCAATGTAGGGTCATTGGTGTATGTTGCATGTGAAGTGCTCTAGGTGTGAGATTGGATTTTTGCAATGAAGCAGAACATATTTTGTAGCATTACTTGAATATGTTTTTGCCATAGTATTTAGATCATTGTTGAAATGTTTGTGCTTAAAAGACTGCTAATTGAAGTGTTATAGGTTTAGGCAACTGTGTCTGCGCATCTACTTTATTAAGCATTATAGGTTTTATAAGCATAAAATCTCTGCAGGTGTGTGCGTGTTGAAATGGCATCTGTATTGGCTATACTGTCATCAACGTACTAGTTTTGTGCTCATTATTTTCTGTTAATAAACAAAGCCCGCGAAATATGAAAAAGAACACGTGACTATACTACTATGCGCATCAGGAAGCAGTGCCCTCAAACAAGCTCGCTTTGAGGCAACCAGTATTACTGAAAGAAAAAAGTACGGATCGCACTATCTGCCACTTCTCGTCCCCGCTTAAATCTTGCACAATGAGGCTGTGATCAGAACAGTGCTCAGGCCACGTCACCAATGAGAACAGTTGGCTGTGAGATATGGACAATGATAGTGACATACAATCAAGTCGAAGGAATCCTTGCAGAATTGCGACACATGGTGCTGGCACTCTACCTATATCCCTTGCCGATGTGTGTAACGCTGTCTCTGGCAATGGAAAAATTGGCAGATCTCACGTACACTGTGAATCGGTGATTTGTGAAGCATGAATGAG